GCATTCTGGATCTTTCGTGTGATTGGCTTATTTGTCCGGTATTCGAGAAGAGTGGTGCAGCCCTACGCTCGCCCACTCCTCTCACTCCTCTTCAGTACGAGCAACATCTGATTCGGGAGTCAGCAACTAATAAAAGCATCTTCATATTTCCATTCCAAGTCTCTCGCGGTTGGAGACGCACAGAGTGTGAATCTCTGAGGTAGGCTACACAGCATCCTGGCATCTGCAGCATCGTACTGCTGCTAGTGCACAGCGAAATATCTCTGACAAATAGTGCTGGTGCGGAGATGGGGGGGGTGTACTGTGTCTATTTTTGCGCGTCTAACGGTAGTCAACTATGAAATCGGGATGAAGTGTAGACGCATCGTAGAACGCGTTTGTTTTCGTTTGAAGTTGGCGTCTTGTTGGAGAGTAGATGTGACAGATTTGCGTAGAATAGGTAAGATGTTATCATGAACGGAGAAGAAAGGGCTTTTTCAACACGGAGAAGTAGCATGGATCAAAGCATTTGTCGGATATCAGCTTTTACAAGAGGACATCAACGCAGTAGTAGTATTTTAGCAAGCTTACGAACGCATGTAGGATACCATGAGGATTGTCATTGGTTATATTTCAATTGAAGAGGATATATTTTTACGATGTAGTAAGTGAAAGTAGAAATAAGTCCTACATATGTTGTTGTACTTCGTATTGGTTTAATATTCATGTAGAGTATGAGACATCAAGTGAAAGTTTTCTGAGGTACATCTGCAATTGTCGGAAGGCAAAATATATATATATATGAAATCGGGCTTCCAAATGCCGGCACTCTTGAAGCTATTTTTTTTATTGCAGCGAATGTCCAAAAAATCGGTGTGTCGGGGACACCGGCTGGTACATAGTTTCGCGCGTCAAGGCATGGACATTATCGGGCTTGGACAACCTCTCCTGCAACCAAGCACAGATACAAATGTGGGTTTGGGCCGGCGTTTCCGAACCCTGCATGACCTTGGAGGTTGGCGACAGTGCGCCCGACCGGGTTACGCAGGTTATACAACGCCTCGGGGTTGCAGGTCACTTTAACCCCCCAATATCCGTGCCCACTCGCCACCTGTGTAGCAAAACGAATTACTATGTTTCTCCCCTCAAAGTGAATCTTCCTAAACAGTAATAACGTGGACATGACTATTGATGTTGTGATCGATCGATCAGTATGATGAAGGACACGTTTGAAGTTGGCGTCTTGTTGGAGAGTAGATGTGACAGATTTGCGTACAATAGGGTAAGATGTTATCATGAACGAACGGAGATGAAAGGGCCTTTCCAACACGGAGATGTAGCATGGATCAAAGCATTTGTTGGATTTCAGCTTTTACAAGAGGACATCAACGCAGTAGTATTTTAGCAAGCTTACGAACGCATATAGGATACCATCAGGATTGTCATTGGTTTTATTTCAAGTTGAAGAGGAGATATTTTTACGATGTAAATGACAGTAGAAATAAGTCCTACATATGTTGTTGTACTTCGTATTAAAAGGGTGTTTGCTCGGCACGAGATAAGGTGCCCCAAGCCTTATATACTAACGTGTGGTGCCCACATACCCCCCCGGATACGAGCGAGCGGACAGCTCAGCAT